TTTTTTTTTAATTTAATTACTTATTCAAATAGGGGGAAAAGAGGGGAGGAGAATGGAAGGATATAATTCCTCTACCTTCCATTCCCCTCAACTCAAACATAAGGTAAGTTAATATCTTAGTTGTGGGTTTAACTATTGTAAATAATATATTTTCTCCTTTTTTTTTTTTTGTTTTCTATTATGGTTATATCTTTATGGTGTATACTTATATATAATAATAATAATACATCAAATGATAGGTTATACAACTCATCTTAGAAGACGGATTTAAAATCTTTAACTTGAAAACTTAAGTTCTTAACTATTAGAACGTTGTATAAAGCATATACTTATACATATAGTTATATACTTACATTGTTCTCCATATGAAAACAAAATAAGCAAAAGAAGGGGGGGGGGTTGTTTAGTTAGTAGTAATATGAAAATTGCTACCCTCTTATGTCAGCTAAAATACTCTCTATATGTGGCATAATCCAATTGGTCCACTTGTACTTAGGTCATAACTGAAAGGAACTCCATGTCATCTTAAGTATGATTAGGAAAAGTCCTAGAAAAAGAACCAATCGAATTGAGTCAAACATTAGTTTTCATAACCTTGGAAGGAAGGACTTAAGACCTACATAGTTGAGTTGTCTAGAATGGAACTTAGGTGATGTTTGACAATCTTGAGTTGCTTACCTAAAACGTTGGACTTAATGATCAAGACAAAGGGATAGAGGACAAGGGAGCCCACGCAAGGTCAACCTTGGTGCACACTCAAAGGCAACCCCACGTCCATGTTAGCACCTATACAAACCATTACCTATTTTGCAGGTGGTCTTTCTTTGTCTTCTTGCCATGCGGCACCTTTCCACTTGCAGTCATACCTGTAATTGTATTTTTTTGTAGGTTAGACTTCGATAGTTGTACAAACTAAACAAGTTTTTGTCCTTAGCAAAGTAGACCACCTCACCACTCTAAAATGGGATTCTTGTGCAAATCCTAAGGTAATTAAAACTCCTTCTCCCTCTCTTCTTCAACCTTCATCTCTTTCATTGTTGTCCTCCTTACACCTTTACCAGAATATTACTCATTTAAATATCAAAGTGCATATACCGAAGACCACCTCTGGGTCTTTGGTGCATGCACTAATGACCTTTCCTTTTGCTTGCGTGCAAGTCAAGTTTCAAGAGGAGAATCATAACTTTTTGATTCATTCAAAAAGCATAGATAGTAAAAAAAAAACTCAAATTTGACCTTAGTAGCAATTTTCTTATTATCACCCACAAAAGTTGTTATAAAAAATTACTTCCAAAAGGATGGTTGACTAAACGACCAATTTTCACAAAAACTGCTAACCGAGTGTTCTTGCGCGATTCATGCAATGTGAAAAAGTTAGGACTAACTTATTATAATCATTGGTGCACTATTGTATTAGCTGTGCAAACTGCCCTTCTTAAGATGCAATTAACCAAAAGCCCATTATCTTTTTTCCTTTCAAGTAATCTAATCTTTCCCCTCGCTTTAAGGCCCTACCACATGCATTTGCTCTTCAAATCTAAATATTTAAATCTCTCTTAACTTGTGTTTGGTAATCAAGGAAAATGAATAGTAAATGGATAATAGAGGAATATACTATCTATATTTAAACTTAAGATCGATATCACGTCAAATCAACAATTAAACAAACCTTATTAACAAAGTTTAAGAACAAAGATACTTAGGCGAACAATGATTAATTAATGGATCAAACATCCAAACAAATTAAGCAAGAAAGGTTTAAGGGGAACTTGATTGTGGATGCCATATGAAAAAGGACAGTGGAGGGAACATCAAAAATACCTAAGACGATGTCGTCGTTGTTCTGAGAAAATATAACAATGAAAATAATAACGAATTAGAGAATATTGTTCCATAAAAAGTCATCCCGCCAAAGTCGACCAGAGCAGATTCTGCATGATCTACTGACTCATTTCCTACTCGGCTGCACTGCATCTTCCTATTTTTTTAATATTCCGAATATTTTCTATCAGTTCACTTCACATGGCTATCAGCTCCCTTGTGCTGGCAACTGGAAATGTCTACCATTAAATTGTCACGGCCCCAGACAATCAATATTTAAGGGGAGTTTGGCTTATCTCTTCCCTAAATAAAAACCAATCCATCGGTCAACACCTAAATAGTTTAGTGGTAATTTCTTTTCATTAAAGGTAAAAGACTCGACTTTGACCCGTATGATATGTAAGTGATAAAAGAGAGTTGCATTTTGTTGTGTAACCAACATAAAAAAAAAAAAACCAATCTGCCGAAGCTGCACATCATTTAATAATTAACAAAAAAAAAAAGGAGATAGAATATGACTGACTATAGAAAAGAAAAAAAGTTGATCATATGTGATATAAATCTCTTATATATGAGAGTAATTAGCTATATTACTACAAAACAAGCTCGTGTTTTTGAGGAGGAAGAAGCTTTTAGAATATATAAAAGATTATGTGACTATATAACTGATTTTTTTTTTTTTTTGTGGATTTTTAATTTCCAAACTAAGCCAATTTTTTTCTACGTTTGGCTTCTCATATTCCTTTTATGGGAAAGTTCAGACTAAATGCACACGTAGTGTACTGAAAAAAATTTCTTTATTAAAAAAAAATAATATAAATTATACCAAATTATAAAACCCTAATTAATAAATTGAGAAGAGATCTCTATAATGGAAAGAAGATTTCTTCATCCAATAATTAATTGTTGTTTTGGACATTAAGTTCATTTTAAATTCTACACAATTAAAAAATAACTTGCATTGTGCCATCTTAAAATCCAAATGAAATGCGCTATCCTAACTTTTTAACAATTGTTAAATCAATTTTTCTTTTTGGATAACATTATTATTTTCTCCGGTTATTTTTAATTATTTTACTTAAACTTCTTACATAAAATTTGAATAGATGTTTATCTATACAAAATAGAAGACAACAGAAAAAAAAAAAAATTCTTTTTATACTTAGTTTTTTAAAAACATTTTTACTTAAATAAAATTATTTTTAACTTTTATTTATTTATTATATAAAATTATCAAATTAATTTATAGGAAAAAGTGTATATCAGTTTCGACTCTTAAGTCTTAACAATAATTGAAGTCTCAACCTTAAACTATGTAGTTTTATTTAATTAAAATTTAATTTAAAATTTAAAAAATTATCTTATTAAATATT